AGGTGCCACCCAGCTGATGAGCAGAGTGCCCACAACCAGCAGCATGTTTCTCCTGGTGGTGCACATCCACACATGCCTTGGTGCATATAACAAAAATTTATTCTGCACGTGGATGTTAAAAATTAAGAGGGAACATTGCTCCAGGGTGTCTTACTTGTGTCCCCAGTGTGATGTTGCTTTGCTTATTCACTTTAGCTGAACTGCTGGCCTGGATTGCAGATGTAGATGACGCATTTATTGAAGAATCCTCGGCTTCACATTTCACCAGAAGCTTGTGGTGCTTTTGGCTTGACTCTGTTAAAAAGACAATAATGAGAAGCAGTGCATCAATCATTGCAGAAGTAACTAGAAAGCTGTTACTTAATTTTGGGAGAAGGGTTGATTCTCAGAAAGACCTACCTGATCCTTTGTCGTTTTCAAAAGCTCTCCCTAAGAAATGATGCACTGTGCTCATTGTGCGCTCGTCAATGTCTGGGCCTGGCAGGATGGCTAAGAGCCACCTTAAAGAGGGGATTTGAGGGCCAGGCATTCCAGGGGTTAAAGAAAGCCTCTGGTCCCAGCTAGCCCCACCCCTTTACCTGCAACCAGTACCAGGACTGGAAGGGGGAGAAAAAGGAAGGAGTCTGGCTCAGTTTGGGGCTGACAAGCAAGGAGACAGGAGTGAGATTCAGCCGTCTTACGGTATGAACCGTAAGCTCCCCATCCTACCTCTCTGGGAAAAAGAGGGGACTCTATTGAGAAACTCCAACTAAGGGGAATCTGGACTCTTGAGGCCAAACTTAAGCACTGAATTAGGGAGTGGCTTGGAGTTCCTGGGCCAGGAACACAGGAGGACAAGAGGGCAGCCTCCTCTGTACACCTACTCCCAGGGATAGGGCTGCCAGGTGTCCAGTTTTGAACTGGACAGCCCAGTATTTGAGCTTTCTGTCCGGGAAACAAACGGAGAGAATAGAAATGAGAAAACAGAACTGTCCGGTATGTTCTAAATCAGATGTGATGTCGATTGTGATGTCATGTCAAGTGTGACCACCATTTTTGTTGAAACCATCTGGCAACCCTACCTAGGGGCCCGGTCACAGGGGGCCAAAGGTCCTTGAAGCCCAGAGCAGCCAGTGGCCAAAAAGGAAATGAAAATGGCTGAGAATGCACTCTTTGCTCACCAGGGAATCCAGCAAGTACTCCCTGACAGAAGACTCCAGCCTAGCAGTACGGTGTATTCGCACAACCCAGAGCCTGCAGCTACATGGCCAAATCTCAAAGGAAGGGCACTTTATTTTTTTTAACATGGTCTGTAGTCAATAGCTAAACATTTTCCACTTACTGAGATGCTAATTATTGGGTGATTTCCAAAGTTTGTCAGAACAAAACAATACAGTGCTACACTTTTTCCTGTATTGCCAATATCTGCGAATTTCCAACCGTGTATACAGGCCTACAGACAGATTTGTATGTGCTACGCTAATTGGCAAGAAGCATCTTACCTGTTTGTTTTCTGCTGCTATCAATATGCAAACTAGGTACTGAAGTGGTCCCTTTATCTACAGCATAGTTCTTCATTGTATGCCCCGTACACCTACAACAGAAAAGAATAGATTTACCACGGCTAGAGGTGGCGTAAGGGTGGCAGAACTGAGCCCTGCAACGGTTCCCAGACTTTTAATACCCTGTTTACACTCCCTTTCTCCCATTTTACAAAGAATCGCCCCACTCTCCAGATGATATGCAGACAAGAAACACAGGACTGATTTAAAGGGCATCCCACAGATTCCAAAAGTCTTTGTTCTCCCGCTTTCTCTTCTAGCAAAGTAAGCAACTGTCTATCCCAGCAGAGAAGAGTGGCAATTTTCTTAGGACTAGTCTACTCAAACATTGAGTTCCTGGTAGGGATGTGTGGCTGTTGCTATACTTCAAAGGCGAAGGCGCCCTTATCAACTAATGCAATAGTCAAAGCAAATTGCATTGACTATTCCATTAGCCAATTAATCAAAATTTTACATCCCTAGTTCCCGGTGTAAATCTACCCCCAAACTAGCTGTTTCTTAGAGTGCTTCGCTGCAGCGCTGTTTCGAAGTAGGGTAGATGAAAGCACACCAAGGAACTGTTAGAGAGCATCATCAGCAGGTCCTCACATAGTTCCTCAGGAGCTTTTGTGGACCCTGCTTTGCAATGAGACGTCAATGTGTGCTAAGGAACTGTTAATGCTTGTCTCTAGTGCGCTTGTGCACACTCGCTGGGATATACATTCTTGCACACCCAGGCCCTGTGGTTCGGTGATTTAAAGGGGCCTGGGGTCCCCCATTGCTGCTACTGTGGCACTGGCGGTGGCTGGAGCCCCGAGCCCTTTAAATTGATGCTAGAGTGCTGTGCATTGCACTGAGGACAGCAGGGGGGAGAGAGGTGGTGCGGTCCTGAGCACGGGCTGTCTCTTTCTCATCCATCCCACCTTCTGGGAGCACAGAGTTGCCCTCCTCCTCCACCTTGCCCGAATCATTGTGGTACAAATGTTCACACACAAAGATGATTACACGTACAAACAGAAATGGACACTTCCCCCATCCGAAGTCTGTTTCAGAATGGAATTGTGTCTACTGGGCCATGACCAGCACTAGTATATCTGGTATCAGTAAGATGCTGCAAAGCACTGCTGGCTTTGAGACCTCAGGTCCCATGTAGGTACCCAGCTGCAGCAGCCAGATTTGCAAAGTTTGAAAATCTCGCCACTTGAGCAGGGTGCAGAAAAGGAATGTCGGCCCTTTTCAAAAGTTCACCCTTTAGAGTCAGAGAAATGATCTACTGCTCTCCCTCTGTACTGCTCTCCCTCTATTGCAGATTGCTTTGGGGAGCCTAATGCAAAGTCAAGTATTTTGTAAGAACAGGTACAGCGTCAGGTGCTGTATCTGTGAAACAGAACGAGTACAAAGGCCTGTGAATAGGTACGCTGACCCAAGCAAAGAACCGATTTCCCAGCAATACAGCTACGGTGTGTTCTGTAATATTCCCATCTTCCTCATTTTTATATAATCAGGTAAACAACCTTTAGGTAAACAGTAAAGTCCTAATCATTGTTTATGGCCAATGATTTCTAGAACAGATAAGTCCAAGGGACAGTGATTATTTCAGGGCCAAACCGAAATAGGGGAGTGGCATCTGCTGACCCCAAAGCAGAATTTGAATCTGAGACTCACCGGGCATGTCTGCACAGGGATAAAAGCCCCACAGCATGGCTGTGGCTGGTTTGGGCCAGCTGAGCTGGGCTCAGAAGAACCCAGGCTCTGGGACTCTCCACCTTGAGCCTGAATGTCCCTCCACAGTATGTTCCTGACACCGCGGCGAGTGGCGAAATCCGCGAGGGCTCTGTTTTCCTATGGCTTCTGGCCCATGCAGTGAGTTGGGGGGGGAGTGCTGACTGTTGCTGCCACCCCACAACAGGCCCCCCGAGGCCGTGTCCCCCCCATGCCTGTAGATTAGGTGCAATAGAGGGGAGAGGGGCGAGGTGGTGGCAGGAAAGGGAACTGCAAATAGTGATTCTGCGAATCACAAGGATCTCCTGTACCGCAGTTTTTCAGCCCCAGAGCCCACGCCCTGTGTGCCTGGCTCAGCAGATCCAGGCCAGCTGTGGGTTTTTATCCCCGTGTAGACATAGGCAAAGATTCCTGATGGCAGAGGCTGTGTTCTATTTATTTCCAGGGACTTCACTTACATGGCAAAGAAACATCAAGTCACTCTGCCAGGCACTGTCGATTAAATACAAATCAAACATTCTTACCTTATGTTTTCTTTTTCGGAAAATAAACTCTTCGCCTTCTTGGCCGAAATGCAGAGGGGCAGCTTTTTTTTCGCTCTCCCTAATTATTCTGTCATCCAAAACAGAGGAAAGAGGATTTGTAGAGTTCTTTTTCATATAAGCACACTAGTGAAACAGTCATCAAGGCTAGGCTGTAATCACAAGTGTAAGCAAAAACAGACTCCAGAAATTGCCCCAGCAACGGCTTGTATATTGCATAATCACCACTTGGGAAAGTAGAATATTAACAATGAAAGCCTTTCCCTCCGCATGTGAGACTGCATTAATAAAACTGGTAACAGATTAACCTATCCAAAGACTAAGGATGTATGTAACTCCCTTTGGAAGGTAGGGGATACTCTCGCAGTGTACAAATTTCAGAGGGGTACCTGTGTTAGTCTGTTTCAGCAAAAAAAAAAAAAAAAAAGTCCTGTGACACCTTAATGACTACCACTGTTATTTGTTATGTAATCTTAATTTATGAAGAGCACTTCTGCCTCCCTGCACGCTCAGTAGCAGACCTGAAAGCTGCCATGCTTGAGCAAAAAAACTTCAAAACAAGACTGCAGGGTGAAACTGCAGAGCTGGAATTCACCTGTGAACTTGACACCAGCAGTCTGGGTCTGAATAGGAGCAGGCCAGGTTGGCTTAAGATACGCAACTCTGGCCACGTCAACAACGTGGCTGGAGTCCACTTACCTTAAGCAGCGTTCTAGAAACCATTTAAAAGGCCTGGGGCACTGGCCACCAGTAGCCATGGCCAGAAACCCTGGGCCCCTTTGAATCGTTGAGCCCTGGGGCAACTGCCCCCTTGCCCTGCCCCGCCCCGCTCCCCCAGTTCTCAGGTCTGGTCACGTAGACGTGGCCTAAGTTACTCGAGGCTCTTGAAAACGTTAGCCCAAGTATACATCTCACATTAGTCCATTTGGGGATTGGGGTGCCTCACACGTTCCACGATAGGGGCAGTTATTAGCCTCCCTCCTCCCTGATTCATAGTAGCTGTGCACTGAACTGAGAATCCAAATGGAGAAAAGCTCATTCGCACAGGGTGTGATTCCCGTGGCAGTCTACTGCCGTGGCAACAGCTGAGAAATGCAGGCCTTCTGCATTGACTTCAGCGCTTTCACATGGATTCCGTAGTGAGGTCACAAACTTGCCTTTATGCTCAGTTATTTCCATAGCAACCGACTGCAACACAATACATTTAGAATGAAGACATTAGGTGGAGCATAAAATAATGCTGAGGTCTAATCAAACAACAGGACAAACCCAGAGTTACAAACAGTGAACCTGGAGTGCAGCTCTGCACGGACGGTAGAAATAGACAGAAAAGACGGTAAAGTGGGGCTTTAAGAAGCTACTCCAAATAAACAACCTTGTGGCTGAGTTGGCATTTCCTCTGCCGAGGATTTAAATTAGGGATATGAATGGGCACCAGTTAACTGGTACCTGAGAGTTGCTCCTGCCTCGTAGGCATCAGGAGCAGAAGCCAGCTGCACTGCATGTGGGGCCCGGGGGGAAGGTGCTGGCCTCCCCATGAGTGGGGGGGGGGGGCCAGAACAGAAGCCAGCCCCACCCACACTTGGGGCTGCTGGCTCCTGCTGTTGCCCCCTGCATTTGGGATCCCCTTAATCTGTTAAATTTAAGGTTTAACCGGTTAATGGATTAACCGGGATTTTACATCCCTAATTTAAATTTGTAATTGTTAATCTGTAAAGTTACATTCATATAATTATTTGCTTTGATTATCTAGGAAAAGGAAGGCAAAATACTGAGCTGTTAAACTTTAAGTATGTGCAAGTGCTCCGAACCACAGCTGCGGGAACTGCAGAGGTTACTGGGTTTGCAGCTTTCTCTGCAGAACCTGGGAGGAACCACAATTTGTATGATACATAAACTCAGCAAGAAGAGAGGAGCCGGAAGGACACCGGTAAATGTCAATGGGAGAGAGGCACCTTCGCATGGTACGTACAAAAGCCACAGCAGAACTTTGTTTATGACAGTGACCCACTAATAACAGTGCTGCTATTGAATAGCCATGCCCTCCTTTTCTTCGGCATTCAGCAGCAGTATCTCCCACCCAGCTTTTCTAGGGTCTGTTGTGTGTAAACAATTAACTTTTTACACCAGGGGTGGTCAACCCACGGCTCGCAAGCTGCATGCGGCTCTTCGCCTCCAAAAGTGCAGCTCACAAAGCTGCTTCTGTGCCACCCCCCCCCACTAACCCGGTGCTCACTGGGGCGGCAATTCAAAATGGTGCCCAAGATGGTGGCGCCTGATATTGCCAAAAAACGTGTTTCTTAAAGGGGCAGCCCCCTCCTTTTTTTTTTGCTTGACAATTCTGGTGCGGCTCTTCAAATGTTTTCTGCCACTGTTTCGGCTCTCTTTGTTAAATTGGTTGGCCACTCCAGTTCCACACTAAGATTCCTTTCTGGGAATGGGGTTGAGGCAGACCTAGCTCTGTAAGGATGGGCAATGTTTGGAAGCGTGACACTTCCAGGAAGGAGGAGATATGAGTGTAATATAAATTTAGCTTCCGTAACATAAATACCCTGTAAGGAGAAAACCAAAGTTATAGCTTTAGAAGAGTGGCAGCAGAGTGCAGTCGTCACACTAAACAGCGAGACAGCCACCGACTTACTGTTGCACGCTGGTCAAGTCTTTCACATTCTTTGCACATTTATTTCTCTATCTATAAACTGATTGGATCGATGTTTATTTCAGAGAGGCATTGTGAGCTGCTCAGATAAAAGGCACTCTAAAAGAATCATTACCTTGTGATCCCAATAGAGACAGACAGCAATACAGGGTAACCTCTGATAAGCAAGGGGCTATAGCCGATCCATTCTGAATGGCTGTGTCTAGACTGGCAAGTTTTTCTGCAAAAGCAGCTGCTTTTGAGGAAAAACTTGCCAGCTGTCTACACTGGCCGCTTGAATTTCCGCAAGAACACTGACAATCTCATGTAAGAAATCAGTGCTTCTTGCACAAATACTATGCTGCTCCCGTTCCCGTTTGGGCAAAAGGACCAGTGTAGACAGGTCAGATTTGTTTTGCGCAAAAAAGCCCTGATCACGAAAATGGCGATCGGGGCTTTTTGGCACAAAAGCGCGTCTAGATTGGCACGGACGCTTTTCCGCAAAACGTGCTTTTCCAGAAAAGTGTCCGTGCCAATCTAGACGCGCTTTTCCGCAAATGCTTTTCACGGAAAACTTTTCCGTGAAAAGCATTTGTGGAAAATCCTGCCCGTGT